CCACGCTCAAGTCCTAAACCCTGAGGTCGATACCCACCCCCCGCTGCAAATGTTAGATACCCCATTCCCCTGCACCTGCAGCGTTCGCCTCGGCCAGGAGCCGAGGAGCATGGGGTCGTCGCCCTTTGGCGACACCCACAAAAGGCCTGGGCTCCAAACCCAAACCCCCAAGTAGAATCTGAACATAAGTCCCCTCAACCCTGAATCTAAACCATGAGTCCCAGGCTGTGAACCTCTATAGTACGCATAGATCTTTTAGCAGGGCCTATGGGGATCCCTCAGAACAACGTTTTCACCCAGAGGGTCCCACAAAATCCCACAAGTAGCCGTTAGGGCTCCAATTTTGGGCAGGCTCTGGGAATGAGGTTAAGGCTCAGGGTTTTTGAGGAAGAGCTTGGGAGGTAGGCAGTGGTTAAGAACTTGCGCCTTGGGCTTTGGGCCAGAAATGGAGGTTTGGGAGGGAAGCAGGTGACATTGCTATGCTTCACTTGGTCGGGTGTGCTCGCGCAACGGCACAAAGGCTTCCAGCAGTATCGCCTGTTGGGTATAATCCAGCTTCCAAAGACCCTCCCATTTAATTACCTTGCCTTCCCCGAAAGCTGATTTCCCAACCATCAACATGAAACATCCTCATTTCAAGACCACCATGACTTGCACATCAGAGAATCACGGCAACCAACCACCTGAGCCTGGACCGAATTGCTCTAATTCTAGATGGCATGCTTAGGAAACTACAGGTGGGCTTCAATACAATCCTTCCAGAATACCTATGAAAGACACATCGTAGATTGTCAAACCTTGCTTTAAGGTGCCCTATATACTTGCGGTTGTATACACGAAACGTAGCATTTGTTGGACAAGCCCCGATATTCGATACTGCTGAATTTGGGGCATAGCCCCCCGACAGTATGCAATGCACCAACCTCCCCTGGCAACATATGGGAGCTTCAGAAAAACGTTACATACATGCGGATTTCCAAAACAAGAGTCCCTTTTGGGAGTCCATATTGCGTATTATGAAACATCCGTCCAAGAGGCCTGAAGTTTGCAAGGAAACGGATCCGGATGGCCGGACTACGGACAGCATGAGCCAAAACCATCACATGGACGCCCTCAGGCCTTGGGATACAGTTTAAGGGTTTTGGGGCTTAAGGATTTACCGTTTAGGGCGCTCGGGTTTGATGGTTTGAGTAGTATGGACTCTTAGCCAGTTTCGGAGGGGTAACGGTTCCAAGGGCCGAAAAGGATATACAAGAGATTGCTGGCACAATGCCTGCAGGGCTACCAGCCCGTCTTAGGGGTCCATACTTTGGACCGTACATTCTGCATCAAAGATAATTACATGCTGCAGGGCTCTGCAAATGCCCGTCCCATCACCCCTGCGCCTGGACATTCACGAGACTTCATAACCACTTGGAACGTGGCTAGAACCGTACTTAAGATTGGGGTAACAGTCATAGGCTGGACCGCTACAGCGGGTCTGAAGCAGGGTGCAAAGCCCAGTTACAAGTTGTTCGTCAGTCCCTTGAGGCTCCAACTCGCTTAATGAAGACGAAAACAGAAGTACAAGAGTGCCCCCGCAATAGGCAGGTAAGCTTTTCCTTGCTGCCTTAGGGACTCCGGCCATTCTGGCGCGACTGCCGCGGTAACTCGAAGCTTGCAAGACAGGGCTAATTTACACCGGTTTCGGGTAGTAGGGCTTGAACCTGGGTATGAAGAGCCAGCGGCATTCTCACAACGAACCATGAAAATGAAACACATGCTTGGCATCAAGTCAGACAACGTCCTCGTCTTGCAGACTTTTACTGGATGTTCCAGCAGAATGACAGATTAGAGTCTTAAGGCCTACATGAAGGTTTCATATTTGTTCAGGGGAAGGCAACTGGCCAATAAGCCTACCTGAGGTTCCAGCTAGAACGAATGAGCTTAAACTGCAGTACTGCAAGAATCCCTGCGTCATCCCTGGCCCTGGCTGGCCCAGGGGGACCATACAAAAAAGTTGAACCCTCGTTATCCTCAGATAAGCTCACTGAAGAAATTGATTTAGGAAAACTGAACCTATGATCCTAGGCGTTCCAGAGTTCCAGCTGCCGCGGCATTGAGTGAAACAGACCGCTTGCAAAAGCGACGGGTACCGGGGTTCTAGGGTTTGGGCTTCGAGGGTTTAGGGTCTTGTGAGGGATTATTAAATTGAGGTTAAGGGCTGTGGATTTGGGGTTTTGGGTGTAGAGCTGCAGGATTTGGCTTCTCAGCAGGTAGGCCTTTAGGCTGGGTCTAGAGATCAGGTTGCGCTGTAGCCTTACATTATCTTAACCACGCTAAATTGAAGACACCCTTGAACCTCCAGATGGGGATCACCAGCAGCCTTTGCTGCTAACACCCTAATCCTCCAGATAGACCCTGAAGTGTAACATCCCAGGCCCCACAACCCCGCATGGGCAAACTAACTTTCGCCTGAGGCCGGTGTGAAACTGAAGCGGCAAATTCATTCAGCCCAATTCGCTCAAGGGTATGCTGGATTAGGCACCCTTGTTCTTGTCCATCCTCGGCAGTGGAAGACGTAGGGTGCATTGTTCTGAGGCTTAGAGGCCTAAGTAGGATAATCGCATGCCTGAGACAAGGTATCTTCTTCACAAAGCCACCATTTCCATTTTTTGCTTTCCATAGAATATGCCCACCTTTTTTGGATGGCAACTATGGCAAGGTACACGTCTTGGAAACGCCAATCTTGTGGTTATTGGACTTGTGGAATCGGTAACCCAAACCCCAAACACGTGAGAGACTCAGGTATGTGGACATGTCTAGCTCCACTTCAAGAAGATATTCCCTCCATCTCCCCGTGCTCTCCCGTACCCATGTCAGGCCCGGCGCCAAGACGGCAATAATGACACTCATCTAAAAAGGCCTTCAACTTTAGGATCACTTAACACAAATGGTTATTGGAATACATAGGGTTTTAAGGATGGGGAATACCGCAGTGGGAAAGAAAGCAGGAAGCTACTGTAGGTTTAGGACTACCGACTGGCTAAATCACAGTCATCAAAATAGTACCCTGGCCATGCTTCGCAATGGCACGATACAAACGCTGCGATCTCTTGCCCCTGGAGCTGACTTCGCAAGCAGCAGATTGACTAGCAAGAACTTCATGATGATATCCTCCACCAAACTAACATGGAACCCCCTATAGAATTCTTTGAGAAGGACGAAGGCTTTAGTCGGGCATTTTTTTCCGGAGGTAGGCGTGGTTTCTCTTCCCGGCTTTGATGCCAGGAATCAATTATGAGTAGCGTCATGCGGGTACAAGCTTGGGTCCGCTGCCAGAATCTGATCCAACACAAAACTCAGAGCAGGATATTTTGTCCAAACCCTACACGCTTTGCACCCTAAAACCTAGACCCCTGAAACCCCCTAGGGCCCCTAGACCATGAACCCTCGACTCTTAAACACTAAGACACTAAACCCCCAAAACACTCTAATCCCTTCAACCCTAAATCCTGCGGCTGAGTGTCATCAAGCCTTTCTGCTTCGCCAGCGCTTCGACGTACTCCTGGGCTAGGAAGTCTCCGGGGATCAACAGGCAGCAGAACCCCAACACGCTTAATGACTACAAATCCTGAATTGACCCTAACTACCACATACCTTGGGACTGATGGTATTCTAGTATACTGAGGTTGCGCAGTGCATGCGAAATAGTCAAAAGAAAAATTAGGGTTTAGGGTTCCTGGATCCAAGATGTTCTTCCTGTTAGGACACTGCCCAACAATTTTCTAAGAAGCATCTACAAAAGGGAGGACATCCAGGGCCGGGTACTGGGTGGTGTAAAGAGCTCAAGAGCTTACACACTTAGAATGCCATGGAACATGCAGAGATGGGTGCAACTCCCCACCTGTTGAGATGAGGGATGATTGTAGACAGTATGAAAAGGAGGGTTGAAAGGGGCTGGCTTGTGTTGCAGTGGGCTTCTCGAGGTGGGCCTCATGGCTTCGTCGAATTGAACTGCATGCCGAGTTGCCGAGTAGAAATTCTTCTGGAGGAAGTGCTTCTTGTCCACCCTGTCTGCCTGACTTCGCGGTCTCGAAATAAGGTCCCAGTTTGGTGTTGGGCGACGGTGATCATATCACGAAATCTAGTGTCCTGACTGGGAAAACGGGCTGAAGGCGGACTTAGCCTGCTGGATCTTACTAGCTGCCCTCGCGATGCCATTCGGCTTGAAAGCCTAATTCCTAAGTCCCCGCACCCTGGGCACTACCCTACCCCAAAGAAACGTGGAATCCCATGTAGGCTTACTTGTTTCAAAGGGACGGTAGTCCGCAAAGGTCACACGTTCAGGTTCCCTGTTAGCTTGGAGCCCATATTCCAAATCGAAGTACTCTAGATCTTCGAAACCTTAAACCACAAACATTGAAGCCGGTGCATCTACTAGAGGAGCTCGCATCGTACACAACGTCACACTCTAGATCTTGGAAACCTTAAGCAAGTAACTCGAAGCTGAAAGCCTTAAGCCTAACCTGAACCAAACAAACACCCAAGCACGTATCTGAAATCCCAATCTCTGGAACCAACCGTCTCTTAAACTAACATGGAACCCGAAATAGGCATTTTTACGAAAAGAAAGCGCTCTTGACAGCTTTTCGGTTCATCTAGGTTACCTTCGAAACCCTGCACCCTAAACCTGGGCTTTGTTGGACGGTAAAATCGGCAGCAGAACAACATCAAGGAAAAGTGTCTAGGTGGATACAAGGCCCGTGTTGAGCTCCTGCACTGCTCATGTAAGGGCACAGAGGGTTCTTGAGGCCCACACTGGCCTCCTATAATGCTACCCACCTGAAAACTACCCCCTCGAAGTGCCATTCGCACGCTCACAATCCTTAAGAATAGTCTCTAAAAGCATTCCTTCGATCCCTACTACACATCAACGCTAAGCCCCGATACCCAGACCCTAAGGCACTAATACCGCAATACCCCTAAACCCCAAGACAGTGCTCTTTTTAGCGGGCAAGTCAGAAGCAGAACATCAGCGAAACGCCCGAGTCCCCTGCAAGGTGGCCCTCGAACTGGTGCTTCAACGTGTAGGTGCTGCCTTTTCGCACACACTGCTTGGACCACACAGACTGCTTGGACCGTTTGAAGGAGCCATAGGAGCATGTAAAGCTTGAGCTCTGAGCGCTGCCTCTTCTAAGCCTACTGATAGGTGGCTAGTAGGGGATTCGACGGGAAAATAGGACACTGCTATATTACATAGGGTCTGGTGCTTAGGGTTCCAGGCTTTGCACGGGTTTGCTAACTTGTGGCTAGTAGGGAATGAAGTCACGGAAAACATGGGAAGTACAATGTCTTTCAGGGATTGGAGTTTCGGGATTTGAGGGTCAGGGTTGAGCACTTTACGTTTTACGGGTTAGGGGGTTTACGGTCCCCACCACGATACTCCCTGGCGCCGCCCGAGTGCACTTCCCTTTGGTGGCCGTCCCAGCTCGATGCCAAACAGGCAGCCCTCAACCCCATAAAGCCCCAACCCTACCAAGCCCTGCTAACTCTATATATATATACACCTTATATTATAAGCCCTACAAAACGACAAATTCCTATAAGCCCTGCAACCCCCACGAATCCTATAAACCTCACCTGGAAGATGACCCTTGAAACTTGAAACATGCATGAGGAAACCAGCATGAGGGCAGGGTTGACGTTCATTAAGGGGCTAATTAGGTTTGGGTCTAGTGTTGGGGGGTTGATGGATGGTTAAAGGATCAGGGGAAATCAAATGGTTAGGGTGAGGGTGGAATATGACTAGATTATTCTACGTATGTCGCTGCGCTCTGCGTTCCAGCTGAAGTTAAGCCATATCAATCAACCCCGCAAACCACGAACTCTCTGTAAACCTTTTCTTTAACCCCTCTACAGGACCCAGACCAAAGGCCATAGGACCGGGGTGCTTTCCTCTGAATGCCCTCTGCAAAACCTATAGAGCATTTTAGAAGCCCTCGGAAAACTCTGCAGAAAACCCTTTCAACCCTGTGTAAACCTTCTATACGCCCCTACCTACCCCATACACCCTCTGTAAACCTTCCGGAAACCATGTATACACCCTCTATAAACACTAAAAACCGCGCCTCTATAAAACTTCATGCAGCCTTGTGAACCCTCTAGATACGCTTTAGAAAGCCTGGGTAACCCTTCGGGAACCTTCTGTAAAACCCCATCAACCCTGTGTACACCCTAGACCGCTTGTACACCCTCTTTCAGCACCGTAAACCTCTGTGCGCCATGTAGAGAAGTCTAAAATAGCTTCATAAACTTTGATGAGATGCCTCAGAAAGCCTTGTTGACTCCCATAAGCTGTTATGCACCCGATGTAAAAACGAGTAACCCTATGTAAAACTTATCAAAATCACAAGAACCAGACGACGGGCCACAGGACCGCAGGGGGCGAGGGTTAATAGGTTATTCAGATTCTATACCATTGACCATGGGCGGCCGCGAGGGGGAACATGAACGCTGACGCATATGCGGATACATGTCTATTTATCTTGATGTACCTATATATCTATATCAGACATATATATATATATACCTATGAATCTACCTATCTATCTATCCATCTATCTATATCTATGTCTATGTTTCTTTCTTTGCGTATATACATATACACCATCTTTCCGTGTGAAGCCGTGGTTTATTTGCCCAAGCCTTTGCCCCCGTAGCCCTGGTCCTTGAAAGCCAACCCCAAAATCCTACAACCTCAGGCCTACACCCACCCGGAACTTGACTATCTGACAGCAGATCAGGTCATACGCCTTCGGCTTGCTTCATGTGCTGGGAGTTACCTGTGGAAACAACCCGATCCCAAACCCTAAACCCTAAAAACTGAACCGAGTTGCAGTCGTCAGCTGGCAGCCGCGGATCCGTGAAGATGCTGGTGACGTGGTCCACCTGCTGGGTTGCCCGTCTTTTTTAAGGATTTGTCTTTCAGGTCCGACTTTCGAAGCGTAGGTTTTGGTCTCAGGTTCAGGGGGTTAATGCCAAAGCCTAGGGCTTAAGGTTTATCATTTATACAAATCTCTTGGCTTGGGGTTGCGAGGGTCAAGGAACGCCAGTAAGCGTGAAACAAAGCAAAGATCCAACAGAGGTCCAGTCTACGACTGTTGGCTTCAGGAGCCTTCAAAAGCAGTTGCGTCTAGGGTCTAGGGTTTGTGATTTAGGGTCTGCGGGAATAGGGAGAATCATTCTACTTGCACCCAGATTGCGCTCGGAAAGCCAGTCTCGCACCGATGCGGCCCTCTTCGACAATACGTCTTGAAGCCCCCAATTTTGAGGCAGCCCCTTCTGGAGTTTCATGGTAGGACTTTTCCAAGGAAACCATCAAAAGTGCACCGACAGCTGTAATCACGTGGGAAAGCGGTCCCGACATTATCCGCAACCATCATGCCTAGAGTCCACTCCTTATACTAACCACCCTAATCCCTCAACCCTTTGGCAGTTACCGTTTCTGTACCATTCCTTCCTTTCCTACTAGCCACCGGTAAAAACGGGTCATCCCCTAGACTCGTGAACCCTACAACACTTGCATAAAGCTACCACTGACAATGCTGCGACAATGCTCAATCCAAAGACTATTATGGGGAATTCCTTAGATGAGTTCCCTCCCTGACTAATGAAACCTCCACACCTCCCCCCAATCAATTGTCTACTGAGTCTACTATACACAATAATTGAAAACCGTGTGGTAGCACCCGAACCCCTAAATCCGCAGATTGATATTGGATGATCCATGCTGTTTCCCCTTTTCCAGGTCCTGGGGTATCGGGAAGCCATGAACGCTTAAGAGAAAAAAAGAGGCCAGCAAAGGGGACAAAAAAGGGGTGATCTTTTAAAGTTGCTTGGTAAAATGCACGTTCGATATCATGTCCAAGAATCATCCAATCTTGTTCTTGGTCTGAAATATCGGTTGCTCAAAATTGCGGGGTCCTTCTTTTGGGTGAATGCTAGTGAAAGAAGGGAAGCCCGTATAATAACGTATCAATCTATGCGTCTCAACATAAAGCTTCCTAAGGCTTCAAGAGAACCCTGTGCAAGCCATGTATCCCCAGGATCCGTATGAAAAAACCCTAGTCAGCCTTGTGCTTCCTCTTGATGTCGGCGACAAACGCCGGGTCCATGACTACCTCCTGCCTTGCGCAGCAGCTGCCAACAGCAAGCATGATCGGCTGGCTATGCGAAAACATTGAGCAGGAGTACAGGACTACAGTTTTGGCATGTGCAAAGGAAGAATGAAAAGACGTGACCATGTCCTAAAAGTCAATTCTACATATGTGAGGTAGAGTTGTGTCCTTGGCAGGGCTGGTCCCCCAAAAGGAATGGCATCACGAGAAAGCCCTCAGGTGCGTATGTGTACATTAGTGTGGATTTGATTTTCCAGTGTCTCCAGAAGGACACGACGTGGAGACAATCACCATATGAATAACACAAGACTTATGATAGGCAGCTGAAGTTCTGGAATGGCGTGCATGGTGATCCTTTGAGACTTGAGGCGGTGCTGGATTTCTTCCATCAGTAGTTCAAATGGTCCAACAGATCGGCAAGCGCAAGACTTGTCCAGTCTTGGACGTGCCTAAAACCGACGTCCCAGAAGGAAGCGCATCCATGCAAAACGATGCCTGATCCATGACGCTAGGGAGCTGCATTTAATTCAGCTTGACACGCCATAGATGCCATAAAACCTAAACCCTATCGCCCCCACATGGAACCCCCAAACAGGCTGCACAAAGATCACCATCCCTTAAAGGGAGACTACAGAAGCGTAAGTCTTAAGATCCTCCCCTAAATCTCCATACATAATCAACACAAGGCTCGGTACAAGGGATTCCATGACTTCCTTGCAGGCTCACGTGGTCCTCAGCCCCTCAGACACTGCGATCTCCCTCATGAGGCCTGCCAGGATCAGCCCACGGTTCAGGATATAGGATTCAAAGGGCTTAGGGTTTAGGATTCAGAGCTCAGGGTTTATAGTTAAGGGCTTCAGGGCCAAGGGAATGAAGGATGCTAGGCTTGGTTTGTTCAATGTAGGGGCATCCTGATGCTTGGCAAGCCTTCGAATGCCCGCCCATTCCAATCTAAAGCCCGAAACAATGAAATGTTGAAACCTACCCTGCCCAAGCGATATGATGGAACCATGTGAAGACCTGTTGCATGGACAGTGGTCTCTGCCTGGGTTCTGATTCTCTTTTCATGGGGGAATGTAAACACTGCATACAATCCCACACGCATGGGTCCTGCGAATTCGCGGTCCGCATCCGGAGGTCCTAATCTTAACGGTTCAAGTGTTTATGGGTTATCATTACAGGGGACCAGAACTCTCAGAACTACCCGCATGAGTCTTTGCTCTCCGCTTCCCGCTAAAAGCGGAAGAACTCAAAACTTAACAGAGCCTTGAGTCTGATGTTCAATCCGTACCTCGTATCTGCAAACCTCTTCACCCCATTGATGCCCCCACAATACGAAAGTCCGTATTGCAGCAACCCACCAGTGGGCCCAGACTTCGGAAATACTGCTACATTTTGACAAGCCGGCCTAAACGAGAATCTCCAAAGCCTAAAAGCCCAAGCCCTAAACCAGCAGCCCTGCACCATAAAGCCGAAAACCTTGAAAGCCTGAAACACTGTTACCTGAAGCCCTAAAGCCTGAGGCTTTACATCCTATCCTCAAACAAGCCGGTCGCACGCTTCACTTTCGGATCCATGTGTACAGGGGCGTCCGGCTGCGAGGCCCGTACCTGCGGCTTCCCATGCACAGGTCTTGCCTTATAAACTGAGGCTTTTGGGGCTAGTCTTGGGTTTGGGTTTAGGGCTTGGGGTTGCTCTAGGTTCACGGCAGGGCTTCACGGGATACATGTGGGAGCTACACTTCGGAAGGATGATACTGGAGCATCGACGGGATTCTAGCCCATGTCGTTAACGGCGAGGTCCAGGTGAATTGGGAGGGAGGTAATGTAGGATCTATGTATTCATAGAATACGGTTTCGAGGGTACATCATACAACAGCTCAGTGGGGATTATAAAGAAATGATACAGGGATTTCTTCAAGCTTCTACATTTGCTGAAGTTTAAGGTTTGCGGCTTTAATCTCGCTATAGATCATATGCTTTTTTGGGGCACCTCTCAGAATTCAAGCACACTTCATTGTCCCACTTAGGATCCTGCTGCTTTCATGCGCTCGAAGGAACCCTAGTTGGGGAAGAAAACCCTAAGTCCTAAACCCCAAAACCCAAGAGGCTCAACTGCGGTTGTGGCAGTTTATGGCTTGCCTTCGCGCTGCCTGTAGCGATGGCTTCCTGCGCCAAGAACTCTCGCGGAAGCCTGCCGCATCATGGTCTATTCAGGGTTAAGCGGTTAGAGGCCCATCTGAGTAGAATAGTGGAGAATCACATTGAGACGAACAAAGAAAATGAAATGGAAACTGAGGCCAAAGACGAGCTTATGGGCATTTAGCGAGAAGCCGATTTAATTTGAATAGACTTTTGTGGTAACTAATTTTTGTCGCACAGCAACGTGTCGAGAAGTATGCCTCAAGGCATCCAATACCATCGTAACATAACCCCAACCAAACTCTACAAAAATCAAATCTAGGCATAATTCTGCAGACCTCCGCTATGAACTCCCTAAAGCTACGGGGAAGATGGATGAAGTCAAGGCCTGAACTATCAACGGCTTCAACGGAAAACCAACCTGCAATTACCGGCTTCAAGCGCAGGGGCTTTCAATTTTAAAAGGAGGCAAGGGCCCTCCGAACATACTATAAGGGCTAGAACACCATCTGTTATTGGTGTAGCCTGTGTAAGGCTAGTTGCGGAGATCACCAGCACGGTTCTGGCTACACCAACAACCGACTAGTAGCTCCAATGACCCTAGGAGCTGAAACATCCAAGGATCCTATGCTTAGCGACGTCAAGCGCAGTTCCAACATGGGGGCCCTTCCGAAATCCAACTACTCCCCATTTTGCATCAACATGGTTCCTGTTTGCTGATTTAAGCTCTGATGGCAGATATTTGAGGTGTCTAGTATGGAAGCTGTGGGCTTTGAGGCTTTTTCCATGGTGACGGTGAACTTCCCCGACTTGACAGTGTAGCATAGAGGAGACGAACCTCCCCCAATCAAATACAGAACCCCTTCATCAACCACAAGCCGAAACCACCATGCCAGCTCCGAGTTGAACAAATTTGACAAAGTCTGGCTGCCCGGAAACTCAATCAAAACCTTCTTGGGGTTTAGAGTTAAGAGTGTATGGCTGGGGTTTAGAGCTTGTAGAGAAACAGGAATCTGGGAGCACAAGACTGGTCATTTTTCACGCCTCTACATTACATCCAAAAATCTTCATGCAGGCTCGAATATCGATTATGTGATGGGTTCCGAAAGATAGGGCCCGAATCGGGAGAAGGATTGTCGTGCTTTGGGATCCACAAGTGCGAGCTGATTTTCTGAAATGTCCATATTCACAAAGGGCTACCAGCTTGCTAGTCCCTTGGGACAACATTGAGCATGTGCAACCATGTGCACAACAAATGAAATCTAAGCGGACTTCAGCTAGCGGCCGATGAGCCCTCCATTCTACATGGTGCATGTGGGAGAGTGCGGCAGTGGATCCCCATGATGCTACCTATACAACTGCCTATAACACTTCCTCCCCCACTCCCCTTAAGCAGCAGCAAGTGAACCCAACACGTTGCAGACGCTCTTTGTCTCGCAGCCTCTCCTCAAGCTTATGCAGCTGCGCTACGAAGCCTTCATTGGGCCTCACACACCATCTGCTGTTGCGGACAGCCTCTGCGACAGGCTTCATGGGGTTTGGCTAGCATGGAACAGTGGTTTCTGAGGACCAGGCATACGGAAGTGTACAAGAACATCTGCTTAGGGTTTAGGGATGTACGGGGTTTAGGGTCGATGGCTGCCTGGCTGGTCATTGTAATACTGTCCTTTGATACGAGGCTCTTGGCTTCCATGTTAGCGTAATTTGGCTGGAGCTGGGCGCTGATTCAGAATTTCAATTTCAGGGGTACATAGGTTTGAGTGGAACTGTTAGCAAAGTTAGCAAAGGGTCCCCCAGCCTGCTGAAATCAGGAGCCCTCTCGCGAAGGCACCCGAACTTGGAGGGTCAAGGGGACTTAGTAGGTAGGTTAATAATGCGCATAATCAAGGTTACTATGTGGGTTATAGGGTTTTGTAACCAACTCACTAAATTCCCCTGACCCTCCAAGAAGGAAAGATGCTTTGAGCCGTCAGACTTCCCACGCCAAAGAATATTGGGTTTAGGATTTAGGGCGTAGGATTTAGGGTTTAGGGCTTAGGGTTTAGGGCTAGGGGTTTTGAGAACAGAAAAGAGAGGGACTCGTATGATCCTCTTGCTTGTCCAAATATATCGCTAGAGTACCGAAGGCTGCCCTGTCTCGACCCTGCAGAGCTGCAAAACCCCGTTTATGTAAATACATATATATATATCTCTCTATATACACAGACATATTAACGGTCTATTTGCAACATCTGTCTAGCTATCTTTGCCTATAGCCACCTTTACAGGGTCGTCAAGGGCTCACATTTTGAAGTCCATGTTGAGCTTGCCATGGTAAGCCAGATCTGTCAGTTTTTCTGATTAAGTCCAAGACACTGGAGCGTGCCTCTTGCTACGGTTGAGGGGCTCGGGGTTTAGGGTTTGGGGCTCAGGGCTTAGGGTTCAGGGCTTTAGGGATGGAAAGCATAGAGATCTGGTCTTGTTATAGGAGCTACACGCTTTACCCCGAAAAGGGCCATCAAAGACTGCCGTATTTGTCAAACGGCCTATGGGAAGCTCCATGCAAGTTTTTGGCAAGGGTACAGGAACTTTGAAGGTACGCATGGTGCAGTCCTTCCTGATGCAGTCCTGCATGTCCTACCGTCAATACTAAGCCCTTAAATCCTAGACGCCTAAACTCGAAACCCTGAACCCTCCCCAACATACTCCTGCACCCCGTGACAATGTGCTAATCCAAGGCAAGGACAAGCTGAAGACCAAGGAACCTCCAGACCTTGCCTGTAGTCCAGTCTCTGGGTGCACATAAGATACCTCGCAAACTGGGTTGCTGCTAAGGAACCTAGTTCAAGTTACTATATTGGGAAAACCAACTTATTTACAACATATATATGTATATGATCGAGATACCTTTAGGGTCTATGTGCCGCCTTTGTTTCTTTCTATAATCTATATAGAATTTAAATAATGTATATAATTTGAATAATTTAAATAGGCTGGATTTAAATTATTTAAATTATTTAATTCGGGCCAAAATAATTTCAATAGGCCTGATTTGAAGTATTTAAATTATTTCGCCTCAATTAAATTATTTAGATACTTTAAAT